TTCAATACATCTTCCACAGTCACCCTCTAATTGTAAATTTCTTTAAATTTTAACTAATTTGTTAACCTTTTTTCAATTTTGTGAATAGTGAGGGTGGCATGATTCCTTAATTCCACACAAGCTAACTTGCTTCTGGAGATCAGATTTGATTTGTAAGGGCTTATCCCACACTCACTATTCCCAATACCAGTTTTTTGTCACTTTGTTTGTTTCTTGTAATTTTTAATTTGTTCAAACAATTGTATATATACTATTTTACCTTTTGACTTAAAAGTCTAATTCAGATTTTATAATATATTTTTTTTAAATCTTTTTAAATTGTAAGTTTACATCCACAATTTTTGTAGATGAGCACTGATGATGGCAAATAAGCCGAAAGCGCTTTGCATTGATTAATAAAAAAGTTTTGCACGAAATACAAGTTTTTCCTTTTGAAAATAATATAAGGTTTATTCTTCTTTCAGCTAACAGCATGCATCTATGCCAGTCGCTCGACGTAAGTGTGTTTCGGTCACTAAAAGCTGCGTGGCGTAAGCAGTTACTAAAGTGGAAACTGTTAAACAAAGATTGTGTTCCGAAAAGTCAGTTCTTCTCATTGTTACGTAATACACTTGCTATTATGAAACAAAATATACCGACTACAGTCAGATCAGGATTTCGGGCAACTGGAATTTACCCACTTGATAGAACTGAATTACTGAAAAAGCAACCTAGTGGAAACGAAGTAGACCTTCTTAAAGAAAATTCACTTACACAGGTTGTAAAGGAGCATCTTAATACAATGCGGTATGGCAATGAGAAACCTTCAGAGTAAAAAAAAGAAGAATTGCAGTGGAGCCTGGAAAAATTATATCAGGAATTAAGGAAAATGAAGCTAATGACAGCAGTTCTTCCGAACAGGACGAGACTATCATATCTCTTTAGTGGGATCAGAAGATTTTGACGATCTTATAGATGACGGCACTGTAGTAGATGAGAAAGAAGATAAGGAAAACAATAGCGGTAAAGCAAATACACAAGAGAACGAAAACAATGACCAAAATATACTTTAAGAGGACCAAGTTTGCCATGATGACAACTTTGTTGTGGAAGGAAACTTTATTATAGTTTCTTTCCCCCTTCATGGAAAAACTGGCAAAAAATCTAAAGTTAGAAATTACGTTGGAGAAGTCCTGAAGAAAGTAAAAAAATCCAGCACTTATGAATGTAGTTTTCTGCGATCAGTCGGGGTATCAACAGTTATTTTTACTTATCCCCAAGTGAAAGATATGAGTAATAGATAAAGATTAAATCATCAAGAAGTTAACAAATGCCTCCAAAGAAACACCATTCACGTTGGTTTTATCAACCCCTGTTGATGTTTAATGTTAAGTTTTATATTTATGCCCAGAAAACTGTGTTTTATTTATATTTTTTTTGCATTACTCCTAAAGCAGGCTAGTTATTCCTTAAAGTCTCATAAATAAAATATTATTGGTTGATTTTACAAGAAAAAAATGTTTTTGCTAGCATCAAGTACATATTTTCAATGATTTTCATCTCAAAAAAATATATTGTGTTTCAAGTTACCTTATAGCCTTTAAAAAGGGAACAAAGTTTTTAGGGTTACTTGGAACACAACATATATTTTTAAAAAATTTGGTAATTCTCAAAACTTATAAAATAATAATGCTACTTCCCTAAAAGGTTGGACACTCATACAAACGCACAAATAGTATAAATCAATATTCATACATTTATGTTTGTATGGTGTCCATAAATTTTAAAAAACGTTCCAAGTTTTACAGTTTTACGGTAATGGAAATTCATTATCTTCTGTTTCTTTTACTTCTATTGTAACGTGCATTTTTATCCGCTCAAATTACTACAGAAAAATTGAACTCACCTTGATTAAATAAACGAAAAAAAGGTAAAACGTTATTTATTGTTGATAAGCTTTTAAAGACATTATTTTTGTCGTAAACTATTGTTAGCATTCAGATATCATTATTATAATGTAATTCATCCTATCGTATTTCGTTCATATTATCTAAGTTCTATATCTTTGTAAATTTTTATCCTAGTACAATACATTGTACAATGATTGTATTTGCAGTATTATAGACTGGCTTGCTTTAATTTGTTCGATTCTCCTAAAAATAGATAAAGTATCGTTGTGAATTTACTAATATATTATGTAATATAACCTTACCTCTAAGTAATTATTTTCGAGGCCAATTTCTCCGAATTTGTTTACTTTTTGTTCAGAGTAATTATTTTAATTAAAAGTTATTGTTTTAATTTTGACAGTACGAGTTTTAGTACGAGTTGACACTAAATGTCAGTTAACGACGGGATACGATAGTATCTAGGGCACATACTTTGATTACTATACGGTGCAAGAGAGAAGTCCGACACGCCCAACATAGGGCGCGTCTATTTTGAACCCTGTGACACAGTTTACAGCTGAAGAATCAGATCGCTCACTCTGCGTCGGCACTTTTGATCTCAATGTTCCAGTTTATACACTGCGTAACTCGGATAATACAGTATATGACAACCGCCTATAATAAAACAGCAGTCTTCTGCGTATCCTGAATTTGTATCCCTGGAGTGGATGCTATTTTGGAACTTTCAACTGGTCCGAGTGAGCTAACTTATTCTTTACCAATAAACTGTGACACGAAAAATAATATTCACTGACACTGACAGCAGAAAGCAAAATATCAGGTGCGTTTTAATTATCCGCTTCTGCTTCCGGAATTGTCGGTTTAGTCGTTTTAACTTGTCAGAATAAAACAAGAAAACCACATACTTTGATTTTCTTTTACTATACGGAGAATGGTCGCACTGCGCTGCTTTCTGAGTGTCTTTTAAAAAAACTCATTCTGATCCCTTATTACATGTTGCCTACATCTTGGCGCAATATTTTTAATAGGTGCGTTTTAATCATCCGCTTCTGCTTCGGAATTGTCGGTTTCCTTGTTTTAATCTATTAATAACTTATGTATTACCAATATATTTCATAATTTAATTAATTAAGCACTTACCATTTACTGTCTCAGCTTGGGTATTGACCATAAAAACCTCGGGATTTAGGGCTACGTTCACCATTTTAATTTTTAGATTTCTTCTTTATAATAAAACAAGACTTAACTATGCGTTAAGCAGGCTCATAAGACCCATAAAGGGCAAATATTAAATTAACCTCTTCCAATCTGGGAGTTTAATTATAAAATTTCATGATTTAATATTTTTCTTATTAATAATTTGGTCTTAACTATGAGTTAAGCAAGTAACTCCTTCCAATTCGGAAAGTGTTAAATGTTTATTGTGCTTCAACATTAAACGTTAATGTTTAGATATAGGTGCGGATATGCACATGATTTATATATAATTTTTTTTGATTTCACTGTTTATGTAAAAGGTAGAAATTAAGATATTAATATTTTTGCATACTATCTTGCGCAAGCGTCCTTCGCCTGGTATCAAGCTAACGACCGACCGTGGCATCTGATGAATTTATTTTTAAAGTTTAATTTTATGTTATTCCCCTCAAAAACTTGCTTAGAACTTTTGGTAGGTTAGACTTTAATCGAAACCCTTCTTGGAATAATTAATAAAGGGGATTGTCACTCTGATTTAGCTTCTTTAATGATAATAACAATTTGCAAAATTTTATCAATTTTTCAGCATAAGATAAACAGTAGAGATTTATAAAAACTGGTTTTGCTTAACCTTTTAATTTAATTATTTATTTGCAAATATTAGAGACAGTTATTTCCTAAAATGTTTCCCAATGAGTTTTTCTCTTTAATGTAAATGTAATTTTATCAAATCTAATAACTTATCTGCTCTAGTACCTGAAAAGTTAGATTTTGTTATAAATTCTTACAAATTAGTTTTACAATTTTTCTAATTTTGGAAAAAAAAAAATTTTAGAGTAACTTCTTGGTTACATTTAGAATTTTGGAAAGAATCAAATTTTCTTTTACCCTATCTAGAGTTGCAGCTCTAAAAACACCTTTTTGTATAACCATTTTGCCCCCTCATCTACTGTATATTCTGGAAAATGTTCGTTAATACAATCGGATACATTTTTTATTAAGTTACATTTTGCTATTGAAAAATTATTCTGTTTCGGAGAAGAATCTTGATACAGCTGGGTAATTATTCAAAGAAAAACAATAAATATACCACCAATCTACTGGTATACAGCCACGTCACTGCTTTCTTTTATAGATAACGAGACATTTTGATAAATACATTTTTTATCCTTTAGCGTATTACATTTTATTACTTGTTAATATTTGAATAAGAGAATCTAAGTTTTACACATTAAACCAGACAGTTTAGCACAGATGGCATATATACATTGTATTACATACATGTCGGGTCTGATTTTATTGAAAAAGATTTAAATACCGTGTCTTAAATTTAAATAGTATAACTTACCTTTTAGGCTATAGTTTTAAACAACATTTATGTATATTATATGAAAAAAAAAAATATTTTTTTCAATATATGGCAAATCTGTAACATATTCTTGAAATTTTCTTTTTATTTATAATTTGGAAACGTATGTGTTCAACTGAATTATGAGAATTTGCATCTACTTATCATTTAAAAGTCGTGAATCTGCATCCGGTTTGAAGGACCAAAAATATTACATTTTAAATATTTGATTATATATTTTAAAAATTTCTTTTTGTGGATTGTGTGTAAATTCCCGTAAAATCTCAAATTACTTTTAATGGGATATATGTCATATTAGTTGACCTAAATATCAACTAACACAACTTTAAAGTGATGTGAATTATTATTTATTTCGTTTCAAATTTACTTATTTACCTATTTGATTATAACATCCATATATAGAACCCAATAAATGCATTTGCGTTGTTATTTATTTTCCTTTACTAAATATTATTTCAACCACTTACAATTTGCTCCATTAACTCACTCATGTCGAAATTGTACGATTAAACTGAAATATAAAATGTTAAACAACAAAAAGCTACTTACAGATTATAATGCACGTCCGCCATGTTCGGTCTAAACTGAAGGGCTTTTCGAAATGCTATTTCAGCCTCGTCTACCCGCCCTTGACTGCTAAGAACGCTGCCCAGATTTCCATACGCTGAAATAAATTTAAAATTTTATATTATTTACGTTTCTATGTACATCAATCATAATGTGTTTTTAATTCATGATTTGGCGTGGTATAATGTGTTTTTGAATGTTGGATAACGCCAAACCCTAAACAATATATGCGACTTAACTAAGTGCACTTTGTATTTAGTTTTTGAAAAAAAAACTATTTAATTTAAATTACAACTTTATTAATTAAGAACATATTCTAAACTGAATATAATACTACCGGTGGCATTACACCTAAGGTGGCATGACACAAACTAATCTAATGTAATAGTCAGCAGCTCCAAGGTTCATCTACGAGGTTGCCGACTCAGAGTTATGAACTCTTTAACTCTCCTCTTGTTAAAATAAGGCTGCTTGCAGAAGTCCAATATGTCCTTCTTCAGGGGTTGATTCTGGTGGAGATTTTTCCTTCTTCTTCTTAGACATCTTCTTGTGGATAATAAAAGTAGATATGGGGTGCGTTGAGAACACTCTTGAACTGCGCAAGCACGGCATATGTCACGTGTCAGCTGTTATGTCATCTGTCACGTCATTTGTCAGCTGTCAATCCCGTGTTGCCAACTGTCAATCTAGTGTTGCCAACCTAACCTAACTGGAATCCAGAGTCGTCACGAGATGATGCAACCTGTCAACTAGATATCACGCCACCTGTTAGTGGAGCGACACGGCTAAGCGATCCAAGATGGCGGCTATCGTATTCCAAATCCTGCGCAGTGGCCTGTGCCTGTTTTGAACTGGTGGGAAAAACGGGGGAGTGTGGGAAATTACACAGCGATCTAACCCGCCAGCTGTTACCTCATGATGGCACGGGGGGGAGTGAAGCCGTCATTTAATCTGTCAGTGGTGCGACTCGGTTTGTGATACGGCTAGGAGAACCAAAATGGCGGCTATCGTATTCCAAATAAGGGCAGCATCGTGCATCTCAGCTGCTATAGGCCTGATTCAAACGGGAAAAAATGTCGTTGTAAAGAAAACGGGGATGTTAAAGAGAGTGCAGCAGCAAAAGGCAACAGAGCTGTCAACAGCTTGATATTTATTTTCAGTTTTACTTTAGAAGCATTTTCACCGGTTAACTTTTCTTGTTTTTCATTAGCTTTCGTAATGATTTTTTCTTTGATTTCTTGTATATTTTTATTTAATTGTGAATATAATATTTTCATTTTTTTTGTGGTCAAAAATATAATTATTTATTAATTGTTGCTCTATATCTAAATCGAAAGTGGAATTACTTTCTAAATGACCTGTAGTAATTTCATAAAGTTTTAATTTTGTTATAGAGTAAATGCTATTATTATACGCTAAAAGTGCGTAATTTTGTTCTATAGGTTCAGTTTTATATTCGTTTTGGTTATTTAGTAATCTAATATGTTCAATAATAGAAGAATGGAATTTTTCAGCGATGCCGTTGGATTCTGGATGCTGCGAGCTAATGAAATGAATTCTTAGTTTGTGAAGATTGAATAGATCTTTTAAAAGTGAATTTTTTTAACTCTGTACGTTTATCAGAAATTATTTGCTATACAGTGATGTAGAGAGCGGAATATATGCAAAATGCATATATATGCATTTTTTGCATATTTTACCAAAGTTCAGAAAATTTAAGAAAATATTGCATATTTTCGAAAAAAAAATGTATTACTATAGTGTGCAAATCAAAAACTTTAACAGATTATACAGATATATTTGAAATAAAGACCTTTTAAATTTTTGTATTTGTTTTTAAGTGTCACTTCTTGTAAATTCTTGTTAATTAGTTCTTGGAGGGTGGCTTGCACTGGCTTTTCACCTTCTTAAGAGATTAAGCCCATTAAGGTAATTGTTAATAGATGGTATTTACACAGATAAAGTAGGTGTTTTCTATATTCTTCGGCCACTTCTTTTCTTCTTAATGGCGAAAATGCAGGACTTTGGATGCTTTGAATGTCTATGTCTAATAAAATATATATAATATTTAGACACTAATTTATTCACCTTTTTCCCATTCAGCACTTTGAATTTTGCGTAGTTTAGGTGCAAATATTCGTGGACAATTCGAAACAAATTTTCGTTTTTCAAGTTGGAGCCACAATCCTCTAATAATCCGAGTAAGTAAGTCATGGTGCAATGATTGATCATTACATCAGACAATTTCACGCATATTTTGCATAGCGTATGATTTTCAAATCGATTCATTTTTAAACAAATAGGTAATTTTGTTGGTTTTACTTGCTGTGCAATATTCTTTATCGCAACAAAACGCGAGTTATTTAATGTTTTGAACTGTCAAAATACAATGATCACAGCCTCCTACGATTGATGCTTGCTGACGCTGGTTATGAATTTCATACCATTTTAAAGCGCTCATAACGCATGTTAATAAAAACGCAGAAAAACAATTTTCTACCACTTGTAGTTATTCAAAACTTACGTAAAATTAAAGAATATACTATTTTCTATTTTCAAATGGTATTCCCATGCAACTACAATGAGTAGAAATAAGCAATTTAAAGGCCTAAATAATTGCAGCGAAACATTTTTTTACGTCGGGCCCCTTGACAACTTCAAAACTGAAATTATATTCGAGGTTAGGGTCTCACTTAGTTACCATGACAACTCAACAATCAAGGCGACAACACCTTTTATGTTTCACTGGTGACTTGGAGAAAATAATTTGCATTGTTGAGAAACGAAAAATAAATTTTAAAAATATTTAATTTTCAACCATAATTCGGCGTGGAATTTTCTTACCGAATACCACGCGAGGTCAAATTAATATCAGGAAATTTTTTGACCTCTAGTGGTATTACTAGTGAAAATTTTGTCTATTTCTAAATAAATGATTATTTTGGTAATTATGATTAATATTTTTATATCTTAAACTATAATTTTTTTTATATGTTCCCATTTCAATTTGAAAATCATTCGTTAGTGTATTCCTGAGCAGAATTTAAAGCTAAAGAGTTTTTTAGAGCAAAAGAAACATACAATTTTTATTTGCGCTATTTACATATATTTTACTTCTGTAAATGATGTAGAATCATGTTTATTTTCTGTTAGTCACAATAGCCTGCATGTTGAGGTTTGTTTTGTTTCATCACATGAATGTCAAGCAGTGATAAAAGAACCATATTTAGAGAGCAAATTCCTTAGAGTTTTCGCTATTTTATCTACATCTTTAACCTCATGGCCAACATCTAATATTGAGTCTATTCGACCTAAATATTTTGCTTTTGTATCTGATACTACCTTTTTATACCTTAAAAATTTTGTTTCAATTGTACTTTATTTACAACATGGAATTTGTTCGTGGATCATTTTTAACTTTTTCCACATAGAGAAAGCTGATTTACAACTCATTATAGTTTGCATGTTTCTAATTTCCATTGAAATGGATATCAGCAGCATTGTTTGAGCATTATTTTCTTTAAATTATTGCTTCCACCTGGACACTGTTGCCTTCCATTAATCAAATCTAGAAGACCTTCATCTTTAAATACATTCTCCATCTGAAATTCCCATAGCTGAAAGTTAGACCCATTGAATTTTTATTGCAAACATTGCTTTTTTGTCTTTTGTTTTCTCCAGTATAGCTTGTATGAAACCTTCATGTGAGAATCTCACTAACTGTCAGCCAAAAATAATCCAAAATTGTTATTTATACATTTTTTTACTATCTTTTTATGCTTTTTTCGAATTTAATACCTTCTTACGTAATCTGGGTTTATAACCTGTTATATTAGTTGATTTGTATAATTCAATAAATACACAGCTTACTGTGTGTCAATTAGAACCTCAGCGTTATAAAATATTAGGTTTCTAAAGATGCTAAACTTAGATTACCAAAAACATTATCTAGAAGAAAAAAAAGTATATTTTGTATCAAAATTTACCACTTTGGGTCATATTTACTCCATGGATATACTCTAAAAGTTAATCCTGACAAATATTCCCGTATATAAAGCTGAAATGAAAATCAAAAACGATTTATTCCATAATAAAATACCAAAACTGCATCTGGAGTACGCCCAAAGTAAACTCATAATATTCAAAAGTGCCTTTCCAGATCTAAAACATCGATTCCAAAGGAATATAAGACTATAAGATGATATAAAGTTATATCAAGAGCTCTGAAAAACGATAGCCTTCTTGAACATGTCAATGATGGAATGTATGAAATTTAAGATCTTGACAGTACAAAGGGAAACAAGAAAATTGTGTCACTGATCTTCTAAAAGCATTTCGTTGTTATTTTATTGGAAATAGACCCCGATATAAGCGATGGCGGGATAGCGTACACCGGGGACCACATATGGCGGGTTGAAAATTACCTTTTGAGGTGCTTGAAATGAGATTTGCGAACGAGTGGTTTTAGTAATATGAATAATTTATTTATTTATTTTATTTTATTTATTTTGTTTGGAACACAAACAGGACATACCCAAAAAAGTGTTCCCAATGCTTCTTACATAATGGGTTTAAACTAAACAACTTTAACCTAATTAATAACAAAATATTATTACACTAGATACGAAATAAATGTGAAATAAGAAATAAGAGAACAGAAAAAATACTAAAGTTATTGCATTATAACAGAAATTCAAAAATTTTACATTAAAAAATATGTCGTAATTTAAGATTTTAAGGTACACTAGACAAAAAGTGTTTTTTTAAGCAATTTTTGAATGCACTTTCGGAAATAGAAAAAATATCAACTTCTAGTACGTTCATTATTGTGTCGAGAGTTTTAATACACCTATGTAAAGGAGAATTTTTAAAGTAATTAGTATTACTTGTATCTGAGTAAAACAAATTATTGCTTCGGGTATTATAAAAAGAAACGTTATAATTAATCATGCTATTAATGGGAATTGAATTTACTAAATTGTTACAAACTTTATATGTAAAAGTAATGTCTGTAATTTTCCTTCTGTTATAAAGTGGAATTAGGTTCATTTTATGTTGCGTAAATGTTAAGTCTTCTGTATATTGTGAAAGGGTTTT